GTGGTGAACAAGTAACTTATTAATAGTAATATGGTACGCGTAATCATACATGATAATGTGTAGTGGGCAAAAACACCTAGGTGGTAGGTAAATTGGTAAACTTGTAATCTAACACAACACATTTACATGGTAGTTGCACCCTTACTTTAAACAGTGTTGCATCATTGATTTAATATTATTGCAAAGTGCTGCATTCTCAATTTAATTACAGTAAAAATAAAAAATAAAAAAACCTTTTGTATAGAACATAAGGTAAGGTATAAGGGTAAACTAGCAATTTTATTTTATTTTATTTTTGCATTATTAATAGGATGGGTGACATTCTCCTATCTTGTCCTGCACCCAAGTGAGCTTTTAACCCTAAAATCCGTCTCGTACAAAATTATTAAGCGAGACTTGCTAAATTGCCATCCCTAATTTTGAATTCTTTTATTTATTATTTGGTTGTAGACCTAACATGTTGCATTAAATTGAGGATATTATGTTATTTTTATATTTAGGACTTAAATGAAAAAAAAAAATTAAATTTTTTTTTGTATTGGTCCTAACATATACTCATGTAATTTTAAGACTTGATTAGTTGTTTATCTTTATGGATGAATAGGGTCAAAATAGTAAATTCCCCATTTACATGCTCTCTTCGTTTCTCCCGCTAAAATTTTGCTGACGTAGAATCACTTTAGCTCGTTGATTGAGAACCGTCCCATGGCTTATTTCACCAACGAATCAGATTTATAGACGCAAAAACAGTTATACAAGAAGATTCACAGAGCACGTAGTCATAGAGCACGCTGCAAGCTGAACGCTCTGAAGTCTGAAGGTCGGCTCCCTCTCTCTAGAATTCTTTGAATTTTCACATCTCTTTTCATTGAAGAAGAACAATATTGTATATATATATATATGTGTTTGTTCATTTTTTTAGTATTAGGTTTACTTTGGATCTGTAATTCGTAAATTCTCAGATTGATATTTATATATATAAAGTGAGAAGTTCAGATTCTCACACATATATATATACACACACATATACACTGATAGAATAATACCTCCTAATAGTTCTATTACTTCCAATTACTAATTTTTAACTGTTTGAAAGACTTAGCTTGCTACTTGCTCTAGTTGAGTATTTATAGCTCATTTTTACTCATTAATTTCTATAGATTATTCTAGACTTACATGATTTCTAGTATTTTCTGCTTCTATACTATTTATACACATTTATCACATGTGATTTGTTTAGAAAAATCTATAAAAAATATATTAGAAAAATATATTTTAGATTACTAGTCAAGTTATACACACTTCTAAAAATTTCTAGGACGGTGAATCAATTTTTGATTAGATGACTCATCTCCTTTAATCTTCAAAATGATGTTCTTAACCGACGCCTTTATTTTTTCTTTTCCGATTTCAACACCGTAAATCCAGTCTCAGAAATTGATTTGAAACACGGTAGGAAATATATAAGAGAAATGACAAAAAAAAAAAATAATAAAAAAAAAAAAAAACAGATTTGTGGGTGTGATCTCCAGCAGGTACAGTAAACCCCAAGTAACTGTGTTTTTCACGTAAAAAATTGTGCTGATCCATAAAAAATAGTGTCCAATTGGGGTAATCAATTAACTAGCATATGCTTGAGCTTTGCAACTAAATTTAGAGACAACAATGATATACATGTCAAAACATATCTGCTCATATTGAATATGTAGAATTTGTTTACACATGCCACATAAGAAAATTACAACTATACAAGTAACCTGCTATATTTTCTGCTATGTTGCTACTTAGAGGATATTCTTGAGTTTGTGTTTGTGATTGACACTTTTTTAGTATGTACGATTAAAGCTAGCTTGACAAATGCTTCAAGAGATTGTCATACGGTGGTATCTTGAACTATGGAAGTGAGTATGCACTAGCTCTTCTCATTTAATGGAATGATGCGGCCTCTTACGTATGTTCAAATGCGTAGTTTTGATGACTGCCTCACTGGTTACGTCTCTGATTAATGGTTTACTGGTTGGTTATACTAATCTAGAGTTGGGTTGAGAAAACCAACTTTTTTCGATGATTCAGGTGAAATACAGTGGATTAGTACTCTGCGTTCTCTCAGCTTTTGTTTTCTTTTCTGGTTCTTCTTTTCATCAATTTATTCATACTCTACATGAAAACTTGCACACAGGATCAGCTTAAACAAGTATGCGTATGTTCAACTGTACACATCACAAAGTCACACGCCATCCAAAAATGTACGTTCAAATGAATTTCTAAGATTGGTCTAGTGCTGAGACTTTCAATCTCTGTCTCGGTTGGAGCACCTATGGCTAGAACTTAGATTGCAAGCCCCATTGCCACAGAATGGGGTAGCTCTTCTGGGAATTCAAAACTCCGAGGAACTATAAATTCAACACATATCTTAGGAGTCGAAGCAATAATGTAGGGAACAACGTGTCACTCCACCCTAGCCACCACCCTGCATAAAAGGTATGTTGCAGATTTGCAACAATTGCATGGAGATGAGTTTTTATAGCATCTGAAATTTTTCTGTTTCCACACTCCTGTCTTTCAGCTCCTTGTTCCCATGTAATTTATAGTTACATATAACTTACTGCATCAATAGTGTGATTTCTTTGTTATTGAGATTAATGGCGATACCAACTAATATTTAGAAAAATAAAAATAAAAAATGACATTGCATGTGTAGCCAGCCAAAAATCTTTTTTCGGCCAGTAATGTTCTAAACTTCACCACCAATGTCTGCAACTTTCTTCTTGCTCTCCTCAAACTCCCACATGGAGTTCCTGTAAGAAATGGATCGCGAGGATCAAAAGTAATCTTCTCAAGCATGACAGCACTCTTGATTTCGTACGCCCAACAAACCCAATTAATTCCACCACCTTAAGGTACTGATGGGCCGAAGATGTAACCCTTCGTCATTTTCTTCTCAGAATGGGCTATCCCCAATTCAACTGTAACAAGGAGGAATAGAGTTATATAGTGCTTTAGACATTATAGTAAACCAAAATACGTACACCATCACATCATAATTGCTCAGAGCAAGTTAGAATCACGACTTATTGTGGCAACCACGACTCAAGAAGACTCCAAATGCTCCACGAAGATTGAACGCCATGCTGTTATACATGTCTCAAAAAAAAATCTTTATTTTTTGTGCTTATTGTAGCAACCACAAATAACTATTCTGCTTTAGACATATGATTGAGTGGACATGCAATTTAAGAGACCTTTAAATGATCCATACAAAAATTCCTCAAACGTTTAAAAAATAAAATCAAGACAAGTTTAAATGCTTAGGAATGACAACATATGGATTAACTAATCAGTAGTCACATCGCCAAAGTGTCCCAATTTAACGACTAAAGACCCTGAAAGATAAACTAATCTTCTGCCACTGCAGGATACTCTCGGGAAGAAAAAAGAAAGTGGATCATTCCAGCTCGCAAAATTCATGGAGAGGGAGGATGAGTTTTATTTTCATCCATAGGAGCTAAAGCTTCAAATTGATTATACCGAGAGAGGATGTTATCTTGGCTAGAGAACCATATTAGCCTGCAATTCTGGTTGATTGTTAGAGCTACAATCATTAATCATATGATTCTGATCTAAAGTTCTCTTGGCTGCAATAGCCTTCTTTGCTGTAAGAATCCATGATTATGTCAGGTTTAAAGCATCTACCGGTAACTGCTTGGAAGGTTCTCCAATCTCAACTTCAGTGTGAATAGCAGGAACATCAACTGAAATGTAAAGTTCAACCACTACTTCCTTTCCTCTTCTTGATACCGTTTCCCACTCATTAATAGAGTTTTTAGCCTTAGATGGCCAGAGAATCAATCTTTTTTGGAACCCAAACCTTAGATACACTAATAGGGCACCGAGGAGAAGTGTGGTCAAATTTCTTACACTAAGCACAAAGCTTAGGCATTTAAACATACTCAACTTGAATTTCGATAGGCTCTTCATCATCTTCCATGTAGAATTTAAAAGATGCAGGAAATGTGCAACTACGGTTCCCCTCAATGCAAATCTTTGCAAAACTCAGCTACTGCATATATAGACTTGGTGAAAGCATAAGCATACAGAGGCTTTTCTGTGGCGCATGCAATGTGAGGCTTTTCTGTGGCGCATGCAATGTAACTCAAACCTTTAGGTGTACAATTTTCTAGAAGAAGACTAGCACCCTTAGATGCATTTTGGGATGCCATCTCTGAAAAATTAGGTGACAGCCAACAAAAAACCAAAACTGGGATTTGCTTATTAACAGGGTTCATTTTTAGAAGCAGAGGACTCTTACTAAACAAGTTCTTGTCTTTGGTGCCTTTCTCAGCCAAGGCAATTTTCAGTCTCTGTGAAAAAGGGCTAGGCCAGAACTCCAAGAAAAACAATTCACCAGCCATTCTAATTATGATTCAAAAAAACAAAGATTGAAGAACAAAATGTGGGTTATTGCAAATGGGTTGTAGTGTCTGAGATTGCTTATGTTATGCAGAAAAGAATGAAGTTGGAGCAAGTATTTATAAGACACTTTTTATAAGGGGTTCATTGTTTACTTTTTGCGGTAGTCATGGCTTGCCTCACTGTTGAGAACTACTTTTGTGGTTGATATGGCTTTCAACTTTACGTGTTAACGTCCTTCTATTATTTGTTGAACCTTCAATTCTTTAATCAATAAGTCTAATACTTGTAATCAATTTTTGGTTTGTATTAAATTTTCTGCCGATATCACTTTACAAGTTTGAAGTTACAACCTTAAATGTTTCACATTCTCCTTCTTTATATAGGCAATAATCGATTTGTATGTTATTTGTCTTTGGCTTGCATTCTTCAGATCTTCCAATGGAGTCAATTTTCTGACGGGGGGGCTTCTTAGCTTTTAAGTTATTGGAGGATCTCTGATTTTCTGATCTCTGATCTCTGACTGGGGGGCTTCTTTCCCCAACCTTCAAAGAAGTCTAACTCAAGCCAACTCTATTTCTAATGCAAAATTAACCCAATTTTCAATATCAAATTTACAACTTTCATCAAAATCAAATTGAACTCTGAATTCATCTATAGTTGGACCATTGTACAGTTTCAAGACTTGATTTACTCAACTCAAATACAAAGACCTTTCTACTTCAAGTTCCTTATCTCCCCGTAGCACTTCATATATAATATGTAAAGCATCAAAGTTCAAACCTTTAATGTAAGTCCACATATACCTCCATCTCTTTGATAGCAGACTAGTTCTTGCAGCTTCTTTCATTGTCCATAGTGACAATATTGAAACAAGGACTTCATCAGGAAGACCACTAATTTTATCCTTCAAACAGAGCCCTTCTTTATCAACCTTCTCATTATTGCAATTAAGGAAAAGAAAATATAATTACTAAAAGAAACAAATAAATTCAAACATAAGTACAGGTAGTGTAAAATTTTACCTTGTGTTTCTTAAATATCCAGTTGGGCCTCGTGGTTTTCTCCATAAATCTGCAGATCTGAGAGATAACAGGAGAAGATGAACAGGTTAGAGATATCCAGACTCCCTTGCTTTGTTCCACAGAGGGAAAAAAGGAGGTTTTTAGTCTATAAAACAAACAGGAACATTCTTAAACAGACCAATTTTGCTTGTTTTATTGGATGGAGAGAATAAGAGAGCAAATAAATACTACATTGCGCAAGAGAAAGAAGATGAACATTTTAGGTTTGTACGAAATTTGTCTATGGAATGCGCTGCTGAGTTTAAAAATCCAGCTGCTAAGGTTGGCAACTGCTATTTAGAAACGATATGTGTTACTCAACCATCATAATATAATATTGGGGGTGGTGTAAATTTTATTTTTATTTTTATTTTTATTTTTTTGTGATTTATCATTGCATGCTTTGGGTTGTACCTAATATGTTTGAATGAATGGCGGTTTCAAAACATATTTTTCAACCTTAACTAGTTTGGTTCTAAGGTACATTCTTGACGTGGTATGTGTCTCAAGTTACCAATTTAACAATTTTCCATCAACGACTTGGATATTTATGGTGGATCACATGTATGCATACTCCAACTTTAATTCCATCAATGACTTTAATATTTCTTAAACTCTTGCTCTTTTAACTACAGTGTATCCATACCCAATAGAGATCAACATGAGTGACTTTGTTCCCTCGAAGCTTTTTAGAAGCAACTTTTTCAGAATCATGACCTGCTTGGTTTCATTTTGCCAAGAGTAGTGATACTTGCACCGTGTATCAACAGATATGTTGCACCGCTTGATGTCATGTGGAGGGCTGCCTGAGATGGATTAAATCAGTGTGAAATCTTTTTTGGAAGATGGACTAATGAATTATAACTTTTGGGCCTTATTATTGAAATGTGGTAAGTTGGGCCAAACTTATACCCTAGCATTTTAAATGTGGAACGGTATTACTAATGGGCCTTTGAGTTCGTGAGTCTAACAAGCCGAACCTAATATTACTCAAGCTCGACTCGTTTAATAAACAAACCTGATAAGTGAACTTGAACTAGTCTCGTCCCGAACGAAGCTTTGAACAGAGCTCAACTCATTTGCAGTTCTACAAACAGGCTGTTAACTCTCGTCTTTGTCTTCCGTCCCTTGCATAGTCTATTGTTTTTGTATCAATGCCGTACATGGTTTATTGGTCTTGAATCATAGGCCATCAACCAAGGGGAGACACTCTCAGAAATATAAACTGCCCAATATGCTCACTACATACATTTGTATATATGTTTGTTGCTTTTAAAAAGAATTTGTATTTAACCCCAAAAAATTGAGGCATGATACATCATCATCATCCTTGTGCATGTAAGGCATGAACACATCTTATAGAAAACAAATGAGATGGAATGTATTCAATGTGCCATAAGAGGGGTATGACTCATTATTCCATGTTCGCTCCCCCCTCAAATGTACAAACACCTACTAACTAGAACTAATCATCAATGGGATACAACAAAGATGAGTCAACATGCAATAACTCCCATACGCGTGTTTTGGCCAGATTATTGTCGCTAGGTCCATGCAGCACCACTCCTAAGCTGCAGTTCCCTATTTACTCAATGAACCTTAGACATATTATACCAAATAAAATAGGTATTTAACCTAATTAATAATCATAATTTAGGCAAGTAACAAAGTCTAAGTAGATCAAAAGTATCATTTGATGGATCATCATTACAAATGCTCCCATATCAACCAATAAATAAGATGCATTTTTTCCCCATTTTTGATAGCTAAAAGTATCCAAAAAGCGTGACAATTGTAAAATGTGAAATAGGAAGATGAAACGGTATTTTCTTGCTTAAAATGGTGAGAAAGAACATAGATATACCATGGTCTAAATTGGTAGAAGTGACCTGGCAAGTTCACTCAGTCCAAAAGTGAGACTGAGATAGAAGATATATGTTTATCTTTTCCAGAGGGTACATACTGGTTTTCCGGTAAAAAACTCACACAAGTGACCAATCATGAAATTTACATTTCCCCAAGCCAACTGAGCTAGAGCTTGGTACATGCAAGTGGCTCCATAAATTTGTTTAACATGCTTAATTAAATCATATTACTGTTAGGATTTCATAAAATACCATTATGCCAATAAAACGAAATGATTAAGGAAGCCATTTCGTAAGTAAATTTTTTTCCTTCATTACTCTTTCTAGGAAGCAATGGGATGTGACTCTGTAAGGATACCAACATTTTCATGATCTATTACTAGCAATGTGTTCTATTCTCAGCGGCTTCACTCCAAACTCAGTTTCTTGTTCGCAGTTGAAACAATTAAGAATTAAAAAGATTGTTCTAAAAATTAAAACAGTCTAAAAGATTGAGCATTTTATTACCTTGCCTGGGGCAATAACCATGATATCAGCCCAACTGTGGAGCTCAATATGAAGGAGGCTATCACCTATCTTCGACCAAGTGGACCATTCATCCTCATCCGTGTAAAGAATTACATCCTTAGGAAGTGATGCTCTGTCAATGAAATGTAAAGAAGCCTTCGTTGCAACTGCTCTTACTTCTGCCCAATCAGAAAAATGTTTCCAAACTTTATTGCTGCTACACTTACACTGGCAGCAAGTAGAATCCGTGGTTTTCTGGGAGCGTCATTAACTTGTACCACTGGGCATTGAACAAAATAAGACAATAAACAACTCAAATAAATCAAAATTAGAGAAAGAGTTTTGAAAGAATTCGAGCTAAAAATTAAATTCATGTAAAGATGTGAAGTTTTGGTCTACTAAAACTTTTGTTAACGATTGATAAAAAGAAAAAAATGATTTCAGTAGTCAACCTATAACAATTCTAATAAATATACTAATTACTTCTAATAAACATAAAAGACCGGGCAAATATTGCAGGAAACACAATGGGTCTCTGTTAATTCCAGAGGAAGAATACCTTAACATTGGTACTATTACCTAGGTTCCTAAACTTGTGAACAATTCACCATCATCATCATAATAATAATAATAACAAATAATTTAAAGAAATCAAACAAATACAATCACATGCATAACCGGCCGAGTTGTGGGGCATTAAAACAAACACTTGGAATGCATTAAAATTCACCGAACCAATCGCTCAATTTATTGAACCAACAAAACTAGCATCACATCAACCCTAAAGTTACTCTTGTCATTAGTGACCAAACACAATTTCAAACACCACTAAGTTGCAAGACACACAAACATAGTATATATTAGTTTTAGGGGAAGTTGAATGTATCGGAGATGATGATGGCAGAGATCACAATTGTAAATAGATGTTGGCCCAAAAAACCCCAAGTCATACACAACATAATTTGTGACAGTTGAGCTACGTTTGTTATAGACACCAGAAAAGAAAAAAGATGAAAAGGGTAGTTTGATTGATTAACAAAGGAAAAGAAAGAAACCTATACCATTCATATTTGAGAAAAATTGGAGGGAAAGAAAGAAAACTATGTCATTACATTAGGCATATAAGTATCTAGTCATGAAATTAATTTCTCATTAATTCAATTGCATTGCATTTAAAGAATATTCTCACAATGATCAATCATCCTATTGAATTTCAGGTTATTTCAGAGCATTGATAGCAATAAAGATAATCAAATATCAGAACCTGAATTGCGAGAACTGATTGTGGAAATTACCATGTAGTCATGTTTCTCATATATTAGCCCATAATTAGTGTTATTGTTAATTCCCAAGCAATGTTCTATCTTTGGTCTAAGAATATTGCTCCTCTTCCAAGTGCCCACTATTTAACACCATCAATGGATAATTATTCCCTCCAACAAAATTTTTAGTTAAGATAGCCAATCGTGAAGAAAAATGACTCGGTTTGTCACACTTCCAAAAGAATGGAAATTTTCTATTTTATTCTTTATGAATGGTATTTGGCTTTCTAAAGAAGTTTTTAATGTGACATGCTGTGCACGCATCATACTTAACAGTTAAACCTAAAAATCATGAATTTTGAAGGTACAATGTGAGCACCTTTAAAAGTCAAGAGATTGTTAATTGCAAATAGTTGAGAGGTGCATTTTGCAACAAGCTAACAAGTTGAGGTGTGTTTATGGCACTTTTTTTTCAATATTGGTTATTTTATAGTTTTTAAAAAGAATTTAATGTAAAATAATATTTTTCAAAACAAGTACTTTAACTTAAGGCAGCTGATTGCAGATGCCTTCTTGACCAATTACATCTAGGATCTGCCATTGGTCCTTCAAGAGCCTATGCAGGAAGACTTCAACTTATAAGATCAGTGCTTATAGCCAGTCATCTATACTGGTTTAGTTTATTCATCCTTCCTCAAAAAATTAACACAGAACTTAATCTCATCATTAGAAAGCTCTATTGGTCTGGTACTGAACTAAAGCAATCTGGAGCCAAGGTTGCTTGGAACCTTGCGTGCAGACCGAAAAAAGCAGGTGGATTGGGGCAACCAAACCTTGCCACTCTCACAGAGCATTCATTATGAAACATATTTGGGAAATAATTAATGAAGATCAGCAAAGAATTTGGTTCAAGTGGATACCTGATTAAAGACTCTTAACTTTCGGAATTGAAGATTCTGTAGTCTTGCTCATGGAGTTGGAGGAAGATTCTGCAACTAAGACCACTTGCCAAGTAGTTTATTAGGCACAAAATGGAAATGGCTCAGCCACAAGATTCTAGAGTGAGAACTGGTTGTCTAATGGCCCATTAGTAGATTGAATTGGGGAGCAACAGATGAACAAAAATTAGTTTATTTAAAGTAAATTTTCTCGGATTCTAATTTCAAGTAATCACAAAACATAGCATGAAAGACGTTAATGTTCTTCCAAGAGAAGGAAACATCTTCATACTTATTGGTATATAATCACATCTGCAAGGCATGCAATACTGACTAACCCCAACAAACCCCCACCCCCCCCCCCCCCCCCAAACACACACACACACAAAATGTACATCCAATTTCCAAGAGAGCCATCCCAAGACAAGGAGTTTGAAAACTGTACTCAACTAACTAACTGATATATTGATTTTCTTTGGTGGGGCATACAATTGATCTGGTATGTCTGGCGCACCCAATATCTACTAACATGACAAGAGCAAGTGTTCTCACTATTTTATACATTGGATTAAAACAAATTGAGATTTGTGAAAAATCAAGCAATTTTTTAATTAAATCACTCAATCCAACGATACCACTACCCCTTTCAATCCAAAGATAGCATCACTCAATCGGCTATTTCAGACTGGCCATTTCTTCTGAATAGCACGACTCTAAAATAATAGAATTTTTAATTCTGAGTTTCTAACACAAGACACAACTAAATTTAGGTCTTTTTTATTGAGATGATCTATGACCTTCTTATTGAGAAATTAAGAATGACAAAATTATGGACCAGTTAAGTCACCATGGGATGTATTTTTCTCCAAGTAGCAAAGCAAAGCATGCTAGACAAGCAAGGGTCGAAACCAAGGTCAGCCACTTCATTCATGGAGGTGCCTGGTCCTTTCCACATTCCATTACTCTTGTTTTCCCCGAGCTTCTCCACCTTCCACCACCACAACCACGAACAGTGACACATTCCAATGACTTGCCTCTCCCTCTGGGAATTACTCATTCAAACACACTATCTCCCATATCCTTGGTCAATTCCCAAATATCCTCTGGTTCAACCTGATCAGGAAGTCCAAAGAGATCCCAAGACAATATCTCTCACTTTGGATGGCTTCCAATGGTGATTTCAATCAAAGCTTCCAACGGTGGACAAAGGCAGCACTTCTTTTCTCAATATTCAAAATCCATAGCAGAGAGCCATTCATGCTTGTTCTTCTCCATTTGGAGCTTCATTCGGACCATGTGTCGAGCATTGGAAGGGTCACTTACCATGGTGTAAAATGTGCAAAATTGCTCTTTCTTCTACAGTCTGCCATGTATGCAGTGAAAGGAATGCACGAATTTTTCGCCAAAAACCATCTTCTCATAATGCTGTGATGAGGCATATTTGCTCCTCTGTTTGTTGAGAGACTTTCCACACTTCCAATCAACGATGGACTCACTGATCAACTCGCAGAATGGGAAATCCATCCCGTCGTCAGCCTCCACCAAGACCACCGGATGCCGCCAGCGGATGAACTGGTCGATAGACTGAAAGACCAACGCTGTAACCTTAAGCCACACAATCCTTGTACTCCAAGCTGTATGGCATAGGCGCTTGAACTTTTGAAGTTTGCCCTAGCTCACGCTCCCACGGTCCCACTCTCATAAGTAGATGTTGTTTGGTAAAATTATGTAATTAAGTATTATAGCCTTTGTAGGTTTTAAGTGATAATTAAAATATAAATATTTTTTTAAAAATTTTTAGTGTTTAGTTAAAATAAAATAAACGTAGTGTTAGTAAAAAACAGTTAAGCTTTGGTGACATATTGTATAAAGCATTTTTTTATACTTGAAACACTTTTAAATTTATTTAGTAATAATATTGTTAAAAGCACTTTTATTACTAATTTTATTATATTACTCTTACACTAAACATATATTAATTTCCTAATATTAAATATTATAAAATTTCATTGAGTTCAATAATTTATAATGATCAACTTAATTTAAATATTTTGTTTATGATATTGGATTTGTATTGAGTAGTAAAATATAAATGAGTTAAACATATTTTAATGATGATTAATTTATATCTTATTTGGGACTTTCAGTAATAAAATAAGCAAATTTGTTCATATGTTATCTAATAATGAAATTTAGTAATATAATATTTCATAATATAGAAAAAATTTCATAAAATAAAACTAAACAATTTAACCACAATTAATAATCTTATTATATGTTATTTAAGATAATAGTATAAATGTATTATATTTATTTTAAAAATAAATTACAAATCATAATTTATTAAAAATTAAACATCTAACAATTATATAATTCAGAGTCCCAAAATAAACTGAGATTGGAAGACAAGAGAGTCTTAAAATAAATTGGGATTTTAGTTTGTTATAGATTCCATATTGTTTGTTATTTGTTTGTAGAATGGATACAATTGTATTTATAAAAAATATAAAGAGATTAAATTATCTAAAAAAAAATGTAGTTACCTAAAAATATGGACCTCTACCTTAACGCAATTTTAAATGTTAAGATTCCTAACTTCACTTAAAAGCGCTTTCCAGACCTAACATCTACTATCTACAAGAGTTTTTTTTTTTTTTTTTTTTTTTTCACCAAATGCATTGCACCGCAATTTTTTAGTATAGAAATGCTTTTCAGTAGTAGAGAAGCAATCCCTATGTCTAAATTTCATAAAAAAATTCACAATTGCCCCTTATATTTTTTCTAGGTCCACGTCATTTAAAAAATAATTTATTTATACTTACCGTTTTCACTAATAGACAAATTACTTTATCAAATACATTTAATTAAATAAAAACATTATTGAAAATTAAACTAAATTTACTAATCAAACATGTTTCAATCCCATGTCGGAATATTCAGTCTATCAATAATTTAATTAAATAAAAACATTATTTAAAATTAAACTAAATTTACTAATAAAAAATGCTTCAATCCCATGTCGGAATATTCAGTCTATCTATTGATTATGGTCTCAGGCCATTTCCCAGGGCTACTCTTTATTGGGTCATCTTGGGCTTTTGCATGGCTAACTGGACCAAAAATGTTGGGCCATTTTTAATATTATTTTGTTTGGATATAAAATATTTTTATTTATATTTTTATTTATATTTTTTTGGTGTCGAGTTATCGTAAAATATTTAAGAATAAAAAATATATAATAAAATATAACAAAATTAATTTAGTCATCAATTTTCGATAAGTTATATTATACGCCCCTACGATGGATTTGATCTCAATATAGGGATGGATTTGACTTCAATCTCAACGTAAACCTTTGTCAAATACTAAAAAAATATAAATTAAATAAATATTTTATCTGAAAGAAGAAAAAAAATTCCGAGAAAAATATTTTACTCTGAAACACACTGAGTCCAAATACAATCGTTTTAACTTTCAAAATAAATAGATTACTTGCCAAATAAAATAAAATATTAAATTTATAATGTAGCTTTATACACATAATTTTCCTCAATTAATAGATTACTTGCCAAATAAAATAAAATATTAAATTTATGATGTAGCTTTATACACATAATTTTTCTCAAATCAAATTGCGTGATAATGTGGCTAAACACCTAGGGTTGTAAATGAACCAAATCGAATTGAATTTGAGTCTGTTCAGACTTACCTTGTTCGTTAGTAACTTAACTCCTCGTTATTTTGAAAAGCTCAAACTTCAATTGTTTAATAATAATATTCGTTTAGATTTGATTTGAAACCATAGTCAATATCGTTTTGGCTTGTTCATGAAGGTAAATAGAATTATACAATGTGTTCATGAACTTGCATTCATGAATTATTTTTATGTTTTATGAACGCATGCACGAGTCACACATAAACTATGAAGCACGGGCACTCCTCCTAAGGATCTCGTACCGGTATCGGACACTTTTTGGATACGGACACGCACGTCCGACACTCTGTGAAGTGTTCAGAAATTATTTTTTATTGGACACAGGGTGGACATGGCTCGGACACGGCTCAAACACGGGTGGACACGGCTCGGACACGCGGGGGACACGGCTCGGACACGACGGGGTATATTTTGTAATTTTTTTTAAAGATAAATGGGGTAACTTATGTAATTTTTTAGAAGTTTAAAAGTAAAATTTTGAAAAAATAAAATAACAAATACAGTACTACACAGTAAATTTATTTTCTCTCACTTCCTCTCTCGGTCTCTCCTCTTCTTTAATTATCTCTCTACATGAACAAAACATTTTTTTTTTTAAAGTTATATGAACAAGACTTTTTGAAAGACTGAAAGTATATATGTTTATTCATGCACATATTTAGCCCATTATAACTATGTCTCTTCTGCACATCTTCGTTTGGAATTTAGATCAACTTTAATTTTTTATTTATTTTCTATTTTGTCTAATCTATATTTTTCTTATAACAAAAATGAAATTATTGAAATTGGTCATGTTATTTGTTGTTATTTTATTTGTAATTTTGTATTTATATATACCTATTTGTTATTAAAAAAAATGAACGTGCAAGATTCTAGTAATTATATTTTGAATATATATATATATAGGCGTATCCCCGCCGTGTCCTATTTTTTTTAAATTTACCGTGTCGTCCTATCGTACCCGTGTCTTGTGTCGGTGTCCGTAACTACATAAACCTAAGTTTCAAAACATGTACGATAATCTACACGAGCCAGTCCACTTTTGTTTAGAAAATTTAGTGCGAACTCATTTATTAAGAGAGCCTACAATAAAAACTGAAAATTTATTTGATTGTCACGCAGTGATCCACTATTCCACTCTAATTAAAGCTACTACCATTAACGTATATTTAGGAGTATGTAACTTCAATTTTGTGCGTACACTTCTCTTTTCTCAAATGGGAGAGTATACACTGATCTCATCACCACTCCTCCACTCACGGATGACGAAGACCAGAAATCAAAACATCATCAATAACAAACTGTTGAGAAAAGATTGGATAGCCATTTCCCCCTCTCTTCACAATCCTCTGCACCTTCAGATGCGTCAACACCCTCACATCCAATCCTCTCCAGATCACTCCAAATAATCAGGTACTCTTCATTCAAACCTTCTCAACAATCCATATACTATAAGCATCTACACACGCACATATATATGTATGCGTTGGTGTATCTATAGATTTTGGAAGGTTAAGCAAACTCACACTCCCATGCCTCCAAATAGGCTCGTACCCTCGAGCTCCCCTTTGGGGAGGTGGGTGAGTTTGTACCAACTGGGTTATTGCCCATTTGGTTGTATCTATAGATTTTCAATTGAATAATTTATGAGCCGATGATCTTCTAACAAGGATACTGAGAGGTTTTGCTGTTATTGGCCCTAATTGTTGGAAAGAATTTTAATTTGCTCATCATTCAAACCACTCATACATGTCTGTGTGGCATCTATACACACTCGTACATGTCTGTGTGATGTATCTATTGATTGTATAATTAATTCAGTTGAATAATTTATGACCAGAGTGGTTTTACTGTATAATTCGAACACTGCTACTGAGCGGTTTTACTGTTATTGTAGCGCCAATTGTTGGAACCAATTTTTATTTGGAACGAATTTCTGGTGAGTCTGTCATGCCTCTCGAAAATTGGGTGAGTTTGTTGCTAGTGATGATAATGTAGGGAAAAATGGGAAATCAGAGTTTAGAGCGGTTTTTTGCATGAAGAAAATCCTGCGGAAGCATGTATGGGAGAGAGGTTGTGTTCTTCGATGCGAGCTACCACTTAAGTTGCCTTTATAGTATCCTGTAAACAGTCCAAATGTATTTTCTTTTCTATTTCTTAGTGTACCTTAATGTTTGCTCAATTTGTTTCCTTTCATAGAATGCTGGATTTGAATTTGTTAATATGGAAAGGTTGTTGAGGCTTGCTTTTTCATTGGCTTTTAGTCTGTACTGATTAAGTTTGGGTGCATATTGCTACTTAAAATGATAATCATATTAAACTGATGTTTTATGTTGAGCTTTGGATTTTCAGGTTATTTGCCATTACAATTAACAATTGTGTATATGTAACTAATGTCTCATTGTAAAATTATTCTTCCTTGCTTCATTCTGAACACCAACAATTAACAATGAATAAAAGGATCCAACTGAGTAAGTTGGAAGATTAACCAGAGGGTTGTGTAGTTGATTTATGAGAGTTGCAATGAGTCCTGTGTCTTTGGGAGTGAATTTATGTTCTGTTTATGTGAGTGTGTTTGAAGCAGAACTCATTTTTCTTTATTTCTAAATGTATTTGTGGTTGAACTCTCTATTTTGAAGCTGAATCTCCTTACTATTCCAATGCCGCAATTCTAAACCAAATAAGAAATACTCTTACCTTCTAATACCCAAAAAAAAAAAAAAAAACCACAATTTTATACACAATGAAGAAAACATTTAATTGCTTCCAAAGAACCCATGTGAATGGCATGTGTACTGCTTTGGTCACATGATAATAATATAAATGTCTTGTAGTGTTCTATTCAGACTTACTCAAATGCTAGGAATATGTGAATGAATTAGGGTTGGGAAGGGCTTCACTAAGTTGAGTTATTTATTTACAATTAAAAAAAGGGTTGCATTTAGGGGGAAAAAGAAAAGGGTTGCTTTGTAGGATTAGATTAGGGTGTACAGATGATGATGCCAATACCTCGGTTTTGCATGAAAAAAGAACTATGGTTTTCCAATAAAAGTGGAAATTAGATTTGTTAGATTTGAGACTAGAAGACATGAGCTGGTGGCTACTAATGGATGAATAAAAGCGGAAAGTTGCAGACACGAGCATTTTCTTGTAAACAACACGGACTAGATAGTTTAAATTACTAAGTATAATGTGAATTGAAGCATCCTTGACATGTTTAATTTATACAGTCAAAATATTACGTTTTTCGGTAAGCAAGCCTTTCTGGTTCTACTATAAAAATGTGAGGGCATATGAGATATTTATTATAATTTTGAGTAATGTTAAATATTCAATTGTTGTGCATTTATGTTTGAGAATCTGTTTTTAGGCTTGTGGAAGTACGGTGGTTTCAATGATTTTCTGGATTAGTCAAAGCACACTTACAATTTCTGGCTATTAGTGCAAATTTCTAAGATACTTTTCTGCATACACTACAAGAAAATTCACTTCCACCGGCGAAAATTTGGTGGCGGTCAAGAATAAGCCGCCACCTAAAGCCTTTTCAAACATGAATTCGTGTGGCATACTCTCTCTCATCGACCCTTTCTCTAATACCCCTTTCGTTTCTCTCTCCTCTCTTTCATTCACTGCCTTGAAAATTTCATTTCGCATTCTCCACCCTCTTGATCGATCCTCCATCTCCCAAGTTTCACCCCAATTTCATCTCTTTCCAAAATCAGTTTTCGTTGTGAAGTTTCTCTCTCTACGTTTGTGAGTTGGATTTTTTGATATTTTTCGACCATTTTTAATTTTATTTGTTCACGGTGATGTGTGTCATGATGTTCCGGGAGTTGTGTGGGATGTTTATTCGGGTTTAGAACCCTTAGAAACTCATTTGGGTTCATTTCGGTCTGTTTTGGTTTTTGTGGCCGGGAGGTGCCCGTGGCAGATTTATGTGTTCGAGAAATTTCTCGACATTGCTGTGTTCTTCGTTTACCCTGGTATTATTCATTTTGTGTTGCGTTGCGTTATTTGCGACTGTCTAGAGCTCAAACGTACTATTTTAAGCATTTAAGTGGGAGGCGGGACCTGCATAAATGACTCTAGTATAAATGGGGCTTAAGTTACTTTTTACCACATTTTTCGTATCATTCAATCTTTCTCAGCCGCAGGTTCTCTCTCTCTCGTCCCTTCCCTTTTTCATTTTACACGCTTCAAGCATGATTATCATCTAGCTCGGGTAGGATTTTGATGACGCTGTAGAAGGGAAGTTTGACGAGCGTGTCGAGAGCTACGCGCCTATAGTTTCGGATTTCGATTTGGAGCACTTTGGAGTTTTTAGGTGAAGGTGAAGTACGGATTTTGGAGGCACCGTATAAGGATTTCTTGCTCTTCTTTGTCTACTCTTTCATTCTACGGAGTCGGATTTGCAAGAGGGGCACTTTGGTTTTGGTGGGATTAGGATTTTCATCCTAATTTGAGATAGAGGTGTCTAATTCATGGAGTCCTTGGTTGTGTGTGAGTCCCTATGTGTTAATTAGTTGATATAGCATGCCATGGACATATGTAATTGTTGTAGAAAATTTATTGAATTATATGAATTTAAAACTTTAACATGCATAAGTGATGTTTAATTATGAAAATTTCATGCTACTTGTATAGGAATGTGAAAAGCATGCTTTGTATGGTAAGGATGTGATAATGGTATGCTAAGGTGTTAATATATATTTTTTTCCTAGTTGGTATTCACATACACATGTCTCTTCTGAGACTTGAACCCCTGACCTCCCTTTGGGAAGTAAAAGACTAATACCGCTAGGCCACTAGCCCGTGGTGCTAAGGTGTTAATATTGATGATGCTTAGTTGAGAAAATTACATGCTACCCATGTGAGAACATGATATACAAATTTTATATGATATAGCCTATATGTTTCATGATTAGAGTGGATATTCATTGATTTTAAGCATGCTTGGTGCTTGATGAATTGACTATGAGAAATGAAGTATTGAACCTTGTGCTATAGATGGAAGCATTTTAGCTCATGCATTGGGTAGAGATTGTGTGGATGAATGGGTGATGTGAGATGGATGAAATTCAGGTTAAAGAAGGGTTGTGATTGACGGAAGACAAACGGTAGTTTTGTTTCCGAGATTTCGGTAGCTAGGCCCAAATGGTGATAAGCGATGGTCTTATGCCAGGGATAGCTAGTCAGTGACCCAAATGGTGGAGGAGATGTGGCCTTGTGCCATTTGGAGGTTGTGGGCATTGGTTTGGTTATGTGTGGAGAGTTGGATTGGCTAGGCAAGTATATAGTGTCTAGGATGAGGTCTTGGGATTGGTTCGGGAAATGACATGTCATAAGCATTTATTTCATTAACGGTGTTGTGATGGACTCGTATGTGTGCGAATGTGGTTATGTAATTACATATTTTCTTGTTAATGCCAGTATTGATGATGATTTTTATTTATTTTTCCTATAAAAACATGACCCCTTGTCTTGACCTTCATTTCTTTACGTGTTAGCTCACTTTGCTTTAGGGGCCATGCCTTAGGCGTACCCTACTGAGCAGTGGTGCTCACCCCTCATTTTACACATTTTCAGGGTTTTGGAAGCGAGATGGAGTACAGGGCGTACTTACGAGCTTAGACGTAGGAGTAGAGTTCCTTTTGATCATCATTTGTAACTAAATTTCATTTTTGTAAAATCTTGGCAAATGACATGTAATTACCTTATAGATTGTGACCTTGTAAATGTAACCATATTCTTTTGGGCATGTTTGAATATATTTTAGAATATGTATATAATGGTAATGGATTCATTTTGCGAACCCTCTGGGGTCGTTACAACCTTTCCCCTTTCTCTTCCCTAAGGGTCAGTTTGGTGCAATGGAAAAGGGAGGAAAGGAAAGGGAAGCTGATGGATGGGGATTAAAAATTTGTGTTTGGCAAAAATTGTTGGAAGGAAAGGGAAGGGTTTGGAAGGTTAGTCAAAGCTCAAAATAGTGTTTTGCTTATCCTCCCAAAAATGGGAGGAAAAGGAAGGAAAGTGAAGGGGAGGGTTGATATATTATTTGTGATGCCAAATTTGCCCTCAAGATTACATATACATACAAGTTAGCAGTTGCAAAGATAGTGAGAGACGGCGGGCCAGTGGCTGAAGCTTGCGAACGGCGAACCGGAATTGGAACAGGGGCGATGGAAATTGAAAGATATGGGTTTTGATTTTCTGAACAATCTGAAATGATATATCGATACGGGTTTTGAACTTTTGATTCTTGCAGACAGATAGATAAACTGAAATATATGGGTTTTGAACTTCTGATTCTTGTAGTGCAGAGAGAGAGAGAGAGAGAGAGAGAGAGAGAGAGGGCAAGTTCAGAGTTGCGAGAATAAAGATGGAGGCGGAGAGATTGGGGAGGCTGAAATGATTTGCCCTAAATTTTGTTTTTTCTTTTCTTGTGGCCTATCATCCATGTGCGCACAGAGGCCATTTATTAACCTTTTATTTTTATTTTTTTATTTTTAGGAGGTTGCTAAAATTTTGCTATTGCATTATTTTTAGTACTAAATACATAAATGTAAAATGGGTATGTACCTGTTTGTGTGTGTTAAATGTATAGGTGATAAAATATATATATTTATCTTTTAAAATAGAAAAGGGTATAATAGTAAATTTTCCCAAACATGATTATTATACCTCCCTTTCTTTTTCTTTATTAATCAACCAAATACGATAGAGGGTTAAAATTATCCTTTCCTTTCCTTCCCTTTCTCTCATAACTAATGTTATCATTTCCCTTCGAACCCAGCGTACCAAACATAGCCTAAATTATCAGCATGACTATATCCACCAATATTGTCTCTTTACATAGTTAAAAGAACCTTTCGCTGGTCAATATGTCGGCATTCTTCAATTCCATCGTCTCTTTACCCTTCCATGTCAATTATTGGTATTCAGGGTCAGTTTCTCGAAATCAGTGGTACATCTTTTCCACTCTCTCTCTCTAAACAATATACATGCATCTTCTTTTCTTCAATTTGTAATCGGTGAAGTTTGATTGCAGTCGTTAGTTATAACAGATTGAAAGGCACAGAGTGGATTTCAAGGCAAGATCTTAACATTTCCACAGGTCCTTCTCTTTCTCTTTCTTTCTTCCTTTCTCTATATGTGTGTATATATATGTTTGTGTATATATATGTATGTATATTTAGATTTATTTTGTGTTGTTTCTTCAAGTTTTATAATGATTAATTGAACTTAATTCTTAGACACAACTAATTTGGTTTTTTAAATAAAGATGGAGGCAAAAATCCTACGTTTCAAGGGAAATTCGTGTTTACGCTGATTGAAGGACTTCGAGAGTTGAATATTGTGGTTTGGAATAGCAATACTATCTATTACGAATGACTCCACTGGCAGTGAATATTGTGATCTTATAATTTTTTTGATTTCTCGATCTCTGCAATTGGTTTTATCTAAAATCTGGTGATCTCTATGATGTTTTATTTAATTCTAGGGCTCATTTACAAAATTCCTTTCTCAAGACTACAATGACTGCCCCTGGCCACTTAAGACCAAAACTGGCTGGTATAATCTTCTTGACTACTTAATGATTAGCTCAGGTTTGGTGAATTCTAAAATTTAGTAGTATATTGGAACAATAATATTGGTTAAGCTTAAGGTTGAATCTATAGACAATGCAATTTTTTATAATCAAATAAAGTTTTTGATAGCGGTTCTTTTCACATATGACAAGTTTCAGGAAGTTGCAACAGAAGGCCATTACTGTTGGGAGTAGGTGCATTAACTTTGAGTCTATTCCCTGCAAATTCCCTTTTGCTGCTGAAGGTATAATGGTTTGTAGTTAAATTCCAATAAAATTCTTAATAGCCAATTCAAGAATAACAGGAGATTTTCACAGTCAAATGTCTTTGTGGAACTTGGGTCATATACCGAATAGTAGTGATTAATATAGTATATAGTTTTTTTTTATTGGTTTGAGGACATAGTTGTTATATGGTAAAATTGTCTCATATGTAGCGCATGACTATATTCCATATAGTTATTTTATTCACTTCACTAATTGTATTTTGTTTGTGAACATTTCTTCCTTTTCTAGAGTTGTTATAAGGCTATAGGTTTTTCAGTATAAGACATTAGAGAGAGGCACTGCATTCAGTTCCCTTCCCATTCTTTCCACCGCAATTTTTTTACTCATCTTTCAAGCTTTAGTATTAAGTTGTTCCAGACGATGAATTTAGATACACATCTATTCTTGTAGTTTGGGGGGCAAAGAATTTGAAAACATGGCATGATTACTTTATTAAATATTTGCATCCATTTAGGACGAACACTTGCATATATGTTGTATAGGGTGCAATATAAGGACATATGATGGTTTCATGTTATATGCAACAGTGAGAATAATGTTACAAGAGTGTAAGTTGCCTACTTTCTGTGATGATTTTAGTTATTTAAATGTTTGTTATATACAATAATCTTTTCATTAATTTTCAAGTAATTAGCTAGTGTACTATTTTTGAGGGTAAGGATTAAGGAATTGAGGATTAATTAGTGTACTGTGAGTGAATTCAGGAAGTACATTGGGGGATTGCTTCAGGAGAGAACAAAGGGTCAAGGGAGCTGGTGAGTGTTCATAATTGTCAACTTTAATTCGAGTTAAAATAGAGTTTGGCACACATTTTTAAAAAAATATTCCAGGTGATTGTGATTGATATAAAAAAGAAACTTACATTATAATATGTAAGTACATTGGACTCAATGATTTATTTTCTATTTAAGTTGATGGTGATTTTAAGTACATTGGACACAAGATTAGCTTCGATTCGTTAGTCACTGTTTTGGCGTATTTGTACAGTGGAAAAATGAGGCCTTGGCCGAAAGATGTTTGTGTCCTTGAGGAGTGTACGCACGTTGCTTGTCGGCCCGTGGTCAACTTTATGGTAGAAGTGCTTTATGCATCTTTCGCTTTTGAGATATCTGATTTGGTTTCTGTATATCAGGTAAGGCTCTGTTTCATTGACTTCACTGAGTCTTGATTGAAATACTGTTCTTCATTTCATCGTCCATATGGAGTATTGATTAAAATTTAGTGTTTACTTTGAAAATTGCATTGGTATATGTTGTCAAACACAGATAAAGTACATTTAAAAAAAAAACATCCTTGATGTGGTCTGTGTCTCTTATTTTATGAAATTGCTACAAAAGAGCTTGCATTTTGAATTTCTTGAAATTATATTGTTTGTATTTATGAGCACAAACCTTTAATACTTTCGAGATTGCATTTCTAATTTCTAATTAATCATTGTGCCTAAAATTGTATAATAATATCATTGTTCTAGGAAGATTATTTCTTAGCCCTTAGATGACACTCCGTGATGAGATGTCCTAACCTTGAACTCACTCTTTTCTAGTAGGTGCCATTTGTATAATTCTTCTTTTTTTCAACATAATAATAATAGTAATAAGTATAGTATTGTATTAACTGAAGAAATATTTGTACAAAGAAAGGGCAGAAACCAAAAGGGCCATTGGGCAGAGAGGCAAAACTTCAGAACAGAAACAAGATAGAAAAGGATCAAACTAGAGGTCTGACCACTACTAATACAAAAGGTACCACACTATTTCAAAGCATTCCAGCCTAAAAAGACCAACAAATGACAGCCCTTGATACCCAAGACATTGCAACTGCAAGGCTTGAAACTTACACTAAAAGATTCACTCCTAGCTGGAGTGGGTTTTGTGAGGCCTATTTCTAGTTTAAACATATAATGGGCTCTAGTTTTATCAAACTTAGATTGAAATAACCATGCCCATCATTAAAAAAATCCTAACTGAAGTACCTCGGCCTGTCATTCTTCCTGGTGTGGAATTGGACTTCCAGACAGGTCTCTCAAATGCCAGGCATGTAATTAAAGGCTTCTTGAGAATCTGATGCTAACCCTTACCTTGTTCATGATTTTTTTTTTTCAAAAAGTAATGATAGGTCATCATTTACTTCTATGGAGGAGTTAAAAATCGTATAAGCTTTCTAGAGACATTGATGTGTTTATTTGAGTTATGTTGAGAATATGACTACCTCGATTATCTTGTACTACTTTATTTGATCCTTTTTAAATGACTCTCTGTGAGCAACATTTGTGGAAGTTTTTATGCTTAGAGTGCAGACAAAATCCAAGTAACCATCATATCATACTTAATAGATTAGAGAATTCGTCAAAATCTGCTACACCTCTTGCAAATTTTTTCCAGGTATGAAATTCATTACTAGATAACATTCTTGCTTTCCTTTATATGTAATCAGAATATGTAAATGACATTCTTGATCATGCATTTTCATATACTCCAGATCTTTAACTCACATATGCAGTAAATAACACTTGTTCTTTCAGCTTTGGAAGATGCCAAACTTTTAATTGTTAATTATTAGCTAGAAGTGCTTTGTTATTCGTCAGAGGATCTTGCACTGACAGATGCAGTCTTAAAGTTTATATCTCTGGAGTAGTTGATCAGTTATGTACAATGAAGAATACTATCTTGCCCAACCTCTTAAGACATCATACACGTATGCCTGCATATTCATATATGCAGACTAATATACATCAATATATATATATATATACACACACACACGTGTGTGTGTGTATTTATGTATGTTAGATGAAAATATTGTTTCTGAGCTGTCCGACAAGGGTATTACTCAATATCTGCATCATTGCGTGATACGAATGTGCCATTTCTTGTGCCCCTAGGTGCGTTATGTCCTAGATTTGATTGAGGAGAATTCCTTGCTGGGGTCTTTGAGTTGGTCCGCTCTTGCGGAGAAGAGCTCTTCATTGAGGCTGTGAATGAGGATTTTATGACGAGAACAGGTCCTCATGGCAAGACTTGTCTAAGGAGAATTGGTCCTCGTGAGTACAAGATGCCTTTAAAAAGCTATGGACCTCTTCAAAGATCTCTTATGAAGCTCCTTCGAGGTACCTTGAGTGAGTGGCACTACTGAGCAAAGACAAATACTTAGGCCAGAGTTAAAAATGCTTTGATCATAGAACACATACCTTTGGTAATTGCAATGTATCATGGCCATGCGACCACTGCATTAATTGTTTGTGGCCTACTAACACCAGTATATAGTTGGAATTGTTTATGTATCAATGCCATTTATATAACAGAAAGCATGTACCTGTACAAATAATGGATTGACTATGCAAGAAAATACTACGTTTACATTTTGGCTATACATTTATGTCTAGTTCCATTAGTTGTCAGAGTCCATTAGCTATCTCATTGGCGAAATGACCTAAATGACCTGCCTTCTCCATAGTGATTGTAAGCATGAACAGCACATTCTAGTTTGAAATATTTGCAGACAGAGCAAGATATCAAACTAAAAATGTGATGGTAACACTTCGTCTAGTTGAAGGCTCAAACACAATGAATCTCTTAGAAGGAATACTGGCTAATGTATGAAATTCACTCATATGCTTTAATGTTTCGAAAGAATGTTCACGTGTGTTTATGTAGAAACTAAGAAAGTTTAGACCAAGTTATAATTTTAAAAAAGGACTAAATTCAGACTAACTCAATAGTGTTTTAAAATTTGTGAATATTGATTGATCTTGAACCTTAGTTGGATTGATCCATGCTTACCATGGCCATCTCAATTTGTCAAGCCAGGTTCGATCATTCAAAACTCTAAGTCCTGATATTGATTGATCAAGCTTACACTCGAGCAATTGAGCCTTCTATGTTTAGGTTAGATCATACTCAACCTTACATCAATAAATTTGCAAACAACAATTCCAATAAAACATATTTTCCTATTTATTTCCAATAAAACATGTTTTCCTATTTATAAACATACGAAAAGACTTAGTGGGTTGATTTAAGTCCATTGGAGCCAACTAGTTATGATCTAATCTTTATTTAGGATTCACTTAGTCGGACATCATTTGTTATGTGCAATTCAAGTTGATCAAAATTCTGGAAACAATTCACCTTTGCAGTTTTACTTTGATCTTCATTCTTAAATTTTGAATCACATCTGATCAAATCAACTTACAGCCAAGTTCTTATTAGAAATATGCCAACGTATAGTATTTGTTCTAATGAAATATATTCATGTTAAATGTTCAAATTCACGGGGTAAGAACAATGCCAAATGTTAATTTTATCTCTGGTATTATTTTTTTGTCCCGGATCTCTAGTATTGTTGAATGATGTAGAATGCGAAATCATTTATTTCCCTTATAAAGGATCGTCTGCAAATTGCAAGTCTAAGATTGAATTATTGAAGAGAGTGATTTAGGGGCTTTATGAAATGAGTAATTAATATATATATATGTGTGTGTGTGTGTGTGTTTTGGTTGTTAAATTTCTTACACAAAATAATTGCCAATGTAAAATCAATTCTTGACCTGTAGTGATTTGTTTGATGCATGTAAATATTTGTTGATGAATTGCACTGTAAATGAATTGAAAGAGTGTATCCTCTCCTCACACCAGTTGAGAGTACTGCTCCATGTTTTAAGTTATTTTAATGTCTCGTTAGGGGGATTCAAGATGCTTGCAAATTGTGTCTTTTTTTTTTTTGGTGAAAATCTAGTATACAACAGTTACCATGTCACCTATCATTATGGACACTTACCTATCTTATAGTTTGATGTAATACTCGTGTTTTGTTGATCCTTATTTTTCAACAGTTTTTGAAATGTATGATAAATTAATAGAATTTTCTTCTGCAGTTGAAATCAGAAAATCTCTACGTTTGAGGCTGGGATTTACCTTTCAGTCATCCTCTCCTAAGAATTGCCTATGCCATATATTTTTCAATTCCATATGCATATGTTTTGTTATTTTCTTTTCGACAGAAAATGCTAAATTTTGGTTTTACTTATGTGGGAGAATGTTTTGATTGAACTTGCATGTACGTGAGTAACTAAAAGGTAGATTTCAAGACTCCCCTTTTAGGGAGAAAGCTTCCTTTCCCTTGTTGCGGTGCAACAAGCACATTCAATCGCGCATCACTGTGCACATATATTACATAGATGGTCCGGATGTATCCGTTGTAATTTCTCCCTTTTGATCATTTTTTTTTCAAGGGCAGAGAAAGGTCCATTCCAGTCTAGTAATTAAATAGCCCTACACTTAATTCTTCATTCCCAGAGAAATGTTCAGATTAATAACAACATACCCAATTTGAAGATCTCAAGCTTTCAAAGTTAACAGCCAGGGCCATTCCAAAATCTGATTTTTCTTTTCATTTCTTAATAGTGTCGCAACTCCAAGCAAACTGCAAATCTGATTTTTCTTTCTATTTCCATTTCTTAAAAATCCCATGGAGAAGCCCTCTTCAGTTAGTTTTAGGACATTTTGATTAGTTTATGCAGACTTTCTTGCCACTCTAGAATGGTTGATAGACGTTGCTGCATACGATTCAAGCATGCTTCATAAAATTTATGGTATTGTATACAAGAAGTTGTTAATGCTAAAAGAATTACCATAATTAAAATCTCTCTCTAAAGCTTTCCCAAAAATTGAACTATCCAACTTACAATAGCAAATTAATTTATAGAGAAGGATGTACAAACAATAGCTTACGACATACCATCAAATAATTAAAGGATTAATAAAGTTGCTCCAGCAGGAAGTTCGGCTCCAAGCTTCTGGGCACGCTTTCTCGCTGCTACTCTCTTCTTGGTCTCCTCAAACTCCCATGGAGTTCCTTCAAGAAGAGGTTCGCGAGTATCAAGAGTAATCTTCTCGAGCATGACAGCACCTTTGATTAAATACATTGCAAGCTCAACATCAATCGTACGCCCAACAAACCCAATCAATTCCACCACCTTAAGGTACAGATGGGGCGAAGATGCAACCCTTCGCCGCTTTCTTCTCAGAATGGGATCAACCCAATGCAACTGTAACAAGGAGGAACAGAGTCATATAGTGCTTTAGACATTAAAATAAACCATTAGCATACAAACTAAAATACCTTCACACCATAATTGATCAGAGCAAGTATGAATTTATTGAAGGGTCTGTCTTCCATACTGCAATCTCCTTATCACAACATTGTTCTCTTACCAGTAGAATTATAAGGAAAAAGAAACAATACCAAAGTTGCCTTGTAATGGACATTGTACCTTAATATTCTAAGCATGTATGCTTGGGCCTAAATAACATGGGATCAGACACATCCTCAATTACTCCTTAAACCAAAGGTCCAATACAATTTGGACACAAGAAGATAAAGCAAGAATGCTTTATAACGCTGAGCAATCACTCAACAATCTGATTAAAGTAACCATATTCGAATTAAACTACAAAAAGAAGAAAATACTGCATTCTAGATGAATTTACACTGTTCAGAAGAGCAATAAGACTTAAGAGTAGTGATATTTGGACCGAAGAGTTAAGGCAGAATTCTTGGACTGAATACACTTGAGATCCCACTCCTGGAGTGGTTTTTGAGTAATTGATTAGTTTCAATCATGAAGGTACTTGGACAATCATGAGAACAAAGCAATCTAAGTACGAGTAACATATTAAACAAACATGTAAAACTAGAAAATATTAAACCAACACAGCAACAAGAAAATGATATATATTCATTTGCAAAATACTTGAACAATCGGGAGAATAGAGCAAGCTAAACACTGAGAAAAGCATTTTTCCTATTACTCGTAATATTGAAATTTGTAATAGCCCTAAAGAAACAATTACTCGGGAATTGAAAGCTTTTCATCCGAAGTCCAAATAAATCTTCCATTTGAAAATTCAATTGTGAAAGCAATAAACCATGCAGTTAGGTTATAAAGTAAGATTTATTACCTGCAAGACAAATTTATACAAGAAAGGGCATGCCTCTATCAGGGGAGCAAAGTCAATAAGGCTTGCATCATCACGTGCGGTAATTACCAACTCCAGTTGCTTGAGCTTCTTAAATACAGGAAATTTAGCAAACTGAATGCTACTCTGAATAAACCAAAGAAAAAGTAAATCACCACAGATTGAAGATTATGTGAAAAAAGAATAAAAGAAAAATGAAGAGAAGGAGATTAAGTGAGTTAGTTAAACTGCTAACCTTGGGGAAGGTCAAGCCCAACGTAAGGCTCTCTAGCTTAGAAAGAAAGGTTGAAATCCCCACAAGGTTATAAATTAGATGTTTGCAATAATCACCCCCAATACGCATTTCAACAGGCTCTTGGACACTCTTAAATGGCAAGTTTATTTTTCGTCCGAAGTACTTAAATGACACGAGATTCATTGCAAAAATCTCAATACTTTCCACATTGAAACAGTATAATATCTCCAAGCGCTTCAATTTGAGTGATAAATCAGGAACTTTCAGATTTACGAGAGAGCCAGAGTCTCGCACAGACAATTGTTCCAAAAATGGACAGTTAGTTAAGAAATACTCGAGAACTTGTCCAGTTACATTCACGTGTGCCAGCAGGAGATTGGTCAGAGAGTTGCAACTAGTAAACCCAAGAGACAATGAATGCAGGTGATTTGTAATACTATCCGTGCATGGAAAATTGTAACCCTCAGTCCTTCCCCGACCTTCAAAGAAATCTAACTCAAGCCTTTTAACTCTCTTTTCTATTGCAAAATTAACCCAATTGTCAATATCAAATTCACAACTTTCATCAAGATTAAATTGAACTCTGAATTCATCTATAGTTGGACCATTGTACAATTTCAAAACTTGATTTATCCAACTCAAATACAAAGGCCTTTCTACTTCAAGTTCCTTATCTCCCAATAGCACTTCATATATAATATGTAAAGCATCAAAGTTCAAACCTTTAATGTGTGTCCACATATACCTCCATCTCTTTGATAGAAGACTAGTTCTTGCGGCTTCTTTCATTGTCAATAGTGACAATATTGAAACAAGGACTTCATCAGGAAGCCCGCTAATTTGATCCTCCAAACACAATCCTTCTTTATGAACCTTCTCATTATTGCAATTAAGGTAAAAGAAAATATAATTACTAAAAGAAAGTGTGATTAAAAACAAAGAAACAACTCCACAGTACAGCTCAATTTTTGTAAAACAATTTGTTCACTTAAAAATAAATAAATTGAGACAAACAAATTCAACCATAAGTAAAGATGGTTTACCCTGTGTTTCTTAAATATCCAGTTGGGCCTCGTGGTTTTCTCCATAAATCAGCAGATCCGAGAGATAGCAGGAGAAGATGAACAGATTAGAGATATCCAGAATCGCTTGCTTTGTTCCACCACAGAAGGAAAAAGGGAGGATTTTTGTCTATAAAACAAACAGGCACATTCATTAACAGACCAATTTTGCTTGTTTTATTGGATGGAGAAAATATGAGAGCAATTTGGTATTATATTGCGCGAGAGAAACGGGATGAACAATTTGGGTTTGAACGAACTATTTTTTTTTTTTTTTTTTGTGTCTTACTAGGTTTATTTATTTATATTTTTGAATGAATTGCATAAAAACCCCTTAACTTGTCAATATTTTCATTAAAAACCCTTTTTAAAGGAAAAAATAGCCCTCCAACCGACGAGGGTATGTTTCTTTTGGGCTTTTTCATGGACACAAAGGCAAGCTTGGTATTGACTTTTCTTGAACTTAAAATGCCTTGACCTAAGCTTGGTCGATTGGGTTCTCAAAATTATGATTTTGTTGGCCCATTTGGTTGTCAAAGTTGATTTGGATGGGGCCTTTAGGATTTTAGACCCGTCCCATAAAACAGTTCGGTATTTCAAAGAAGGTGAGACAAAATGGGGCCGAATAGCCAATGTTTCAAAGATCACCCCTGGCAGTCTTGCTAGTAGGGCTGCAAATGAGCTTACTCGGGTTCAGTTCGCATAGCTTGACCTAGCTAGGCTTGGGCTTAGCTCGTCAATTTTTTCATGAACTCGGGCCGTGTCAATACACACATACACACATCTATATATAGATATATAGAATGAATCAAAACAAAAATCGCTACGAAGTAGCTCGGTGTCAGTGTGTATATATTGTATATATATCAACTGAATCAACTAAAGACACAAAACAATAGTCACGAATCGATTTCACCAATCAATCTTCTCTAATTTCATCATCTTCTCCGCAAGGTTGAAATCCATCACACTCTGATTCATCAAGGAAATAAAAAGATATATTAAATATAAATGTAACCTAAAGATGTATTAAGGTAAGTTTCTAATAGAACCAACTTTTAACACATCTGATGATAGTAATAATTAGGTCAAACTACTCGCCCCTGACTATTCACTATTCACTTTGAATAACATTGCTCTAAGCTCTGATACCAGAGGAGTTGCTATCTTTTCTTTACTTCTTTTTTTATTTTTATTTTACTTAACAATCAAGTTTTCTCCTAGGATGCCATGTGAATTTTGCTCTACAATCTTCAGTCTACACATTTGACAAATAGGACTTGTACTAAAATTGAATCAACATGTGGCTTTTAGAAGTAATAAAGCTGTGGCAAGCACTTCAAACATTATTGTTTGGAGAAACATAAAAATTACAATAGGCACAGTAATATATTAAAGAGCAAATGTTGCTGCAAAACTATATAAACGATAGATTCTGCCCCTATTTTGGACATTGCTAAGTGCATGTTCTCTCCAAGCTCACTCCTTTCCCCTAACAATATTAGTAGTCTAACAATCCATATATTCACAATATCTGCTAACCAGTTGTTGAAGGTAGTTTTTGATGATGTGAGGAGATCATTCTACGTCTGTCGGGAATGCTAAGATCAGAGGCTGAGTAGAGCTCCAAGCTAGCACAAGGGATTCTCTGTAAAAGGAGATTGAGATTGAGAAGGCAGATTTGTTTAGCACCCTATGGTAGCTCGAGCCCTGGAAGACCATTCTCTATCGTTATGGTTGTGCATATGTATTTTTTTTCCACCTCCTAAATGGAGAGAGTTAAGCCCTATTTATACTACTTTCATTTGGGTAAGGACCCTTGGTCATGAAAGCTAACTCCCTTTTTATCCAATGGTCGCTTTACGTAGGTAAAGACCCTTGGTTACGATGGTAACTCCCTCTTTATCCAATGGTCATTTTGTGAGATATATATTTAATGTATTATGTGGTCTCTATTACTGGAGCTCAGCTATTGGGTATTAAACATTTTCTCCTGGCCTCTTGTGTAGACCTCGAAGTGAGGCGATTCCTTGAAACTCAGCCACCTAACCAATGATACTCAGATTCTAGCAAATGAAGATAGGGAAAGAGCCTTCCTTAGGGTTCCGCCTTCTCGGCCCCGTAGGCTCTATCCTGGATTTGCGCCTTGAGGTCCCTACAATTAAAAGGGAGCTCGAGAAGAGAAAAATGCCCGAGGTTACGCCTGCAGGAAGCAACCTTGGAAAGGAAGGGAGGGGGGGCCCATCCGACTCGAGCAGGACGAGTCCACAGGAGAGGAAGGGTAGTGACCCACCAACAGGCCTGTGGCCTAGCGGTACAAGGCTCCTACTTTCCAAAAGAAGGTCAGGGGTTCAAACCTTAGTGGAGGTAGTGTGTGTGAGTCCCAACTAGGAAAAAAAAAAAAAAGGGGGGGGGGGGTAACGACCCCTTCCTCGGCCAGTGAGTTCAGTTATAGGACGAGTAGCTCGAGAATACTTAGTCCTTTTAGGAGCACGCCAGATAAGTACTGGCCAAGTGTGCTTATTTTCAGATATGGTGCCACTCGAGTAGACGTCGCGGCACGTATATCAACACCAATCAGTCTCAAATGGGCACAACAACAAAAATAATCTTGAAGCTATTCACCGAAAAAAAAAAATTACAAAAATAAAGTTGAAGCTACAAGAATTCGAGGAAGGTGCTGCAGTTTGCAGAGGTCGGAATTAAGGACTTCATGGACTTCCTCCTTGGGGTACCCCTTATGGCCTTTCTAATTGAGCGCGGCAAGACTACTTTCATATCCTTAAGTAGTGTCTACCAGAGTGCTAGACGCTTTGACAACAGCTATTTGCTACCAAAACACAAAAATAAGACTTCCTCATGAGGCCCATGGCAACCTCTTCAAGCACCATTCAGACCCCTCCATTGCAGCCATGTCCATAATCTCTAGCATCACTCTTCAATCTCAACACTTTTGAGGTTAAAAATGTTGGTTGTCTTGAAGAAATAACACTTCTGAGGTTAAAGATATGTTAGTTAGTTTTACCAAAATACACAAAGATCTTTACATTGGACTCAAAATTGCATAATTAATTTGCAACTACTTTTCTTAGTTCCGAGTATTTGTAAGTGACATTGATTGATTAAATTTAACAGGAATTGTTCTTGAGATAAGGTTCTGGTGCTACTGGAAATGTCTTTACACTAGACTCAAAAAGTTGCATAAGAGAAATTTCTTTTTTTTTTATTATTATTTTTTTATCATGGGCATTTTAATTAAGGTTCGAATTATCATAGACCTTTTATTTGATTCATCCATCTACAAACGGTGTTGTTCAATTATTGTTGATCAAATTGAATCATAAATGAAGTGATTTTTTTACACTATAAGAAATGTCTTAATCTTGTTTACAATAATATATTCCTATTGTTTGGCATGAATTTGCAGCGGCCAATTTTGTACGGAAATTCGCTTACAGCAGTTAGAGATCTGTTTAGTTTGAGGTTGAACTGATGCATTTTTCTTTCTGCAGTTATAGAACAATTAGAGTTTCCAATGCCACCGTTGGAAAAATATTACTCCATTTTTTTAAAATCTGTTTGCTCCGTTATATATATATATATATATATATATATATATATATATATATATATATATATTTCAAGTAACTGATGGGAGTGAAGTGGAGGCAATTAGACTAATGCCTTGGTACCATGAGAATCTTACTTTAAACCGAAAAAGTAACTGATAAGGATGATTGTGAAGATTGGCTGTGAAAGGGCAGAAATCTCACTGGGCTGGATACGACCCAGTCCACCACCATAAGTGTAACCCTGGGTCGGTCAACGAGGCCAAGGATTATTCTTGGCTCTGAGTCAACCCAACCAAAGGTCCAGGGACTCATAAGGACTCCAGCGGATCAGCCCACTCAACCGTAGTCACTATCAGGCCAATACCAGGCCCAATTTCACCCGTATCTCATGTGGGCTTCGCACCCTTCGTGGCCCGAAAAGAGGAACCGACCCAGAAAAGGCTTAGGCTAGAGAGCCAAGAGAGGGATTTTAGGGCAAATATAAACTTTTATAAATAGAAGTTAGAGAGGGAACGAAAGGCAGGTTGTTTGGAATGTAAGAAAATTCTTTTATAATATAGAGAACTATTTCTTGCATCTTCATCTGGCGCCGTCTGTGGGAACGAAGGAAAGATATATCGATTTCAATAACGAATGACACAACTCCGATTGGGAACCATGATCAGAGAAGGAGGTTCCCACCAACAAAAAAAGGACCAGTGGGTGAGGCACGATAAGCTGATGCAGGTCATTGAGACTCTGCGACAGGAGAATGCCGAGCTCATATCTAGGATAGAACGAAGGGACGTGTCGCCGTTCCCTCGCCTACTAGCAGCAGATCAGAGAGCGAAGCCAACAAATGTAAAGACCCACTCTACCACATGGTATGATATTGTCCACTTTGGGCCTGAACCTGAATGGTTTTGCTCTTGGGCTTTACTCCAAAAGGCCTCATACCAATTGGAGTGACACACCTACATATAAACACTTCACCTTTCCCTTTCCCAGGCGATGTGGGATTATGCACCCGTAACTCTCTAGTGTGGTAACCTGTCAGTGTCTTGCACCCGCCCACGGCACACCCGCCCATAGGGTCATCACAATCCACCCCCCTTGGAGGCTTGACGTCCCCGTCGGAACACTTTCGGCTGGGTCAGGCTCTGATACCATTTGTAATGACCCACTCCACCACATGGTATGATATTGTCCGCTTTGGGCCTGAGCCCGCACTGTTTTGCTCTTGGGCTTTACCCCAAAAGGTCTCATATCAATTGGAATGACACACCTACATATAAGCACTTTATCTTTCCCTTTCCCAAGCGATGTGAGATTGTGCACTCGTAGCTCGCTAGTGTGGTAGCCTGTCAGTGTCTCGCACCTGCCCACGGCACACCCGCCCACAGGGTTATCACAACAAACGTCAACCGGAGAGCAGAAAAGGCAGGATCCATCCGTATGGACCCACAGCTCAGCAGCCTCGAACTAGAAGATGAGGTGGAACGCGTTGAGACTGTTCATTCACGACGGAAGGAATCGACTGCAGACAAGATGTTCGATGATTTGCGTCAAAGAGAAATGAGCACTCATAAACAAAGCCCACCAACAAGCAGTGAACTGAACAAAAGGCACCTCCGGTAAGCAACGAGGTCGTCCGGTCGTCCAATAGGATAGTAGAATCTCCCTTCACAAAAGAAATCTGGTAATCCCCCAAAGCCCGAAAAATTCTCAATGCCAACGTCCACCCTGTT